TTTAAGATTAGTTTAGAAAAGATATTAAGGATGACTCCAATAGCGGTGTTAGTTTTAATACTTTGATGAATCGTTTAGTTATAGGAATATAAATCATATTTCAACAAGAGTTCCTTCTTGTAATTTGATGTTAAAGTTCAAACCTAATATTTGGTTAAAGGACACCGCACTTAAAGCACTGAAAAAAGGTTTCGGTAAAAATGTCTTAATTTTATATATGTTGTAGTCCTAAACATCTTTATTGAATTTGTGAAGAAAAATTGGCGGGGTCCACGAGCCGTTTCGGAGCTAGGGTCACTCATAAGTGTACGTAAAAGGGGGCTTGCTATATGTGCACTACTTTTCAAATTGTCCTTATAATCAAAAAAGAGCATAATTTAAAACAAAAACAGCATGCATGCCTTGAATAGATATAGTTACTGCTATAAAGTCTAAATATGGCAACTCTACAGATTGAACAATTTTAAATGGTACGGAAAGTTGAATATTTATATGATATTTTTAGTATTTTTGTTTATAATAAGAAAAATTGAGCTAAAGCCATAATTGACAAAGTTGTAAGTGATTTTGTCTATTTGTGTAAATTGTTTGGAAACGGCATTTGGATCAAATTGTGAAATATCCAGATAATGTAGATGAGAAACAGCTGAAGGTTAAAAGCTTTCCGAACTTGGAAACTCCTTAATTATATCTAAAGTCAGAGGTTCCTAATATTGTTTCTAATAGTGTTCCTAATATTGTTGCTAATACGATTCTTAATACTACATCTAAAGATTGGAATGGATCTGTAGCTGAAGCTCTACCTTCAAGAGACCCAAATAATGAAAATATAGTAGAAAGTAAGGTTAATTTTAGACCATAAGGTAACATTAAGCCTCCGAGTATAAGGGGTTATTGTAGTATATTAACCGATTATAAGATTAGGGTACCTGTTTAGAATAGCAAAGTAGAAGAAATATAACAACCTGATATTTTATATTGTCGCGAGCCGGATGTTTTTAGTAAAATAAATTTATATTTATTTACTGGCTTCAAGATATTACAATAACCAATAATCGGCTAAATACTCCGACTAAGGAAATTATCCCAACAATTCCATGATTTCAATAACATTTTTTGACAAGCGAGCTCGAACCTTAAAATTTTGCTTTCAATGAATCAATGTACTGATGTATGTTCTATTAAGATAGTAAGTATATTGATACTAATTTAGTTTTCGCATTTAGTGCTGTTTGTCCAACAACATCGTTAATTTTATAATATTATTATTATGATCCATTCTTGTTGCTTTTTGCATTCATTACACAAAGTAAAAACCTTTTATTAACATAATATATATTAATTGATTTATGTTCATTTACCATGAAAATAGTTTTTATCTTTTCTTCCTCTTCATTTTCATTTTCAGTTATCTCATGGTCCGTTTCAGAATCGGTTAATCTATTTTCCACGTAGTCCTGCATTTCAGAATCATCGTACTCACCAACATCTTCTTTAGCAAACTGACCAAGTTTTTCTTCATTGGCAGAAGCCAATCTATTTAGTTTTTCAATCTCCTCTAAATGATTTAAGTTGTCTTCTCATGCACTCATCTCTATCACTTTAAAATAAGCAGTAACTGCCTAAAAAATAAACAAAAATCCCTTATACATAGCTGAGAACGGAGATTGGGAATGCAACTGACTATAACAAGAATAGTTGCGTGGTATTTAGCAGACAAAAGCGTTACCTTTCGATATTGCGTGGCATTTGAACTATCTTAAGATGACCACATTGTTGATGAATACTTCGACCACGCCTTGGTGGTATCCTAGTACTAACACTGATTGGATAAGAGATCTGATTTATTGAACTAATACAGAATAATAATACTAAAATAAAGTTGCCTAACTTGAAAGACATTTTTTTATATGATTCAAAGATATGGATATTACGGAGATCTTAGAGAAAATTAATAATCAGGAAATAATGGAAAGTATATTATGCCAAAGTACAGAATTCATTTAATAAAAATATGGTATGCAAAACTTTAAATAACATATTATTTACATATATTTTGAAAAAGAAATGTTTCTCATTTAAGACCGCCTAAGTCCTAATTTGGGAGGTCGTCCTAATTTGAGATTCTTAAAAAAATACAAATAATGAATCTTCTACACCGCATTTGTATGCTCAACTGTAACACCTACTACATCGTGGTTCCCATGCTTTCCAACGTTGAATGGAGCAAAATAGATCGGTACAGAAAAGATATTCGGATTCTTGGTCATCTTCAACTCACTGAAATAATCAACAGGTACTTTTCAGTATCACCACCAGCTCTGAAACTACTGCCGTCTACAATTTTTCTCTTCTTTGCTTTTATTACTTACATGATTTTTTTTGCAACTTTAATTTTTAAATGTGCAACTGCAGCTTCTTTCTTATTTGTTACGTCATGAAGGAGATTATGTTAAATAAATAAAATTTTGTATTCTATTATTGTGGCGTTTTATAATAAACGTACATCATCGATAATTCTTTTATTCTTTCACATTCCAGAAAGTTATTCTGCGTAACGTAACACAAAAAATGTCAATTTCCAGAATTGTATCCTCTATGGATTTTTAAACTGATTGGCATTATTTATCTCAAACATTTTTTCCCAAAACTGCAGCTACCATACGACCATTTTTGTAAGGAGGAGAATTGCAACAGCTGATCCTATTTGTGATATGTTACCTGTGGTAATATTTTTACAAGATAGAATTTCTCGACGCAGCCATAATTATTTACTGTCAGTAAAATAAAATCATTGGTCTGTGGACGGAAGAAAAAGGTAATGTCAAATTTTCGATTTATTTTAGAAAGATCGACGTATTGTGGCCTCGTCTCAATCAGTGTTTGTTGAAAAATTCGTCGGGACTGAACATACAGTGATACGTTTTCCAAGGCCGATGTATACGAAACTAATCATTTTCTTATTGGTTTTATTATTTTCGAGGACGATATTCTGTGTTTATACACGAATAGTGAAAAATTCTGCAGAATAAATACTGAACTATATTTCCAAAATTGTGGAAAGTTACTGATATTTCAATATTAGATTATTTTTTATCTTGATTATTTATTAATTCTAAATATAGACAAATTTAATAAAAAGTATAGTTTGTTTTTATACTAATTAATTTACTTAGATGTATCATCCGTATTCACAAAGTATTTATAATTATTTACCTACGTGTAAATTCTTGAAGACAGAAACTGTAACGTCTATTCAGAGAAAATAGTAGAGTTGGGCGATGGCATCGTTCCTGTGAGTAGTAAAATTTAAAAAAATGAGGTTGTCTTGTAGGTCTTGATATTTCCGTACTATAATAGGTAGTTTGTAAAGATGTAATTGTGGCAAATCAGCAACTCTTCTTTTTACGACTGTCTATTTTCTTTGCGGTAATGTAGTTTAAAAAATATTTCACCTTCAGCTGCAAGTGCAATTGGATGTGACTACCAGTCAACAGGAAAACCAACCTATTGGTCAACCGGCAGAAATACCTGACTTACTGGATTTTTAAATCACTATAAAAATACCCGGAAACTTTATTAAAATAGAAGAAAACTTTGACTTAGACTCAGATCATTCCCCAGTGATAATGATACTAAGCGAAAATATAATCAAAAATTAAATTAGACCGACATTGTGTAATAAAAAGACAGACTCAGTAAGTTTTAAAACTGAATTGAGTAATTGAATCGAACTAAGTGCACTACTATAAGAACAAAAGAACAACTACAGTACGAACTGGAAAAATTTGTCATTGGCATGGAACAATACACCAAAAATTATAAGAAAAAACGTAGGCAATTTATACCCTAGAGAAATAAAAGAACTAATAAAGAAGAAAAGAAAGGCAAGAAAAATGGCAAATCAATAGATTCCCTGAAGATAAAGTAGTTCTCAACAGGCTAACAAAACATCTAAAACGAGAAATAATCACTATTAAAAATGAATCAATCTGATGATTTTAAATCTACAAATTTAATTGTCGTCTCTAGGTGTCTCGGAGGTCCAATTGGTCGAGGTGCCCATGGCTCAAGTCGGAGGTTAGAAGTTCGATCCCTGATTGATGCGCTTATTTTTCTTTTCTTTATTTCTCAGCTTTTTCAGTTTTTCTTTACATTTACAAAAATTGCAATTGAAGCCTTCGGTGCAAAAACCAGGTAAGTCCATTATTTATAAATATTTACATTTAAGCATATTCTCGGACTTTATATTATTGCGAATCGTTGCTTGGTAAAATCAGGTAAGTCCAACGCTTTAAATGGACAACAGTACGGATGATCACATACCTGGTCGAGTATTGGTAGCAAGAACTCATTATGGTGGTGGGGGACTTAACTGGGCGGTACCCGCTAAAGCGCTGACAGTGGCAGTGGCACCGTTTAGTATGCAAGAAGTAGTGGTCTTAAGTAGGTGTTGAGCGGGTAATTGTCGTCGTCAGAATCAGAACACTTTCAGTCGTCAGGAAGCGAATATATACCGGGTGAAGAGGACAGACCTTGCCCCAGTGGGATTAATAACAGTTTTTTTATTGGACTCTAAATCAAAAACCAAAAAGATAGTGAAAAAGAGAAGTAAAGATACTCCTCCTAAAAAAGGAAGAAAAAAAACGCACTCACTGCCCAGAACAATGGCAAAGAAATATAAGAAAAAGTATGAAAGCAAAAGGAGAAATATATACATAAGTTTCATTTTTATTCGACAAAAAGGCGTAAGAAAGTGCGTATGATCGGCCAAAGTGAACCGATTAGCCGATTACGTATCTTTTTTGAAAGGTATTAAAATTTTTTATTTATGAATATTAAAGGTCTGCCAAAGGAATTGAAGTAAGAGCAAGAACTATTGGAGAAAAATGTAAATGCAGATTGAAATGTTTCGAGCTGATTATACAATTCGGAGGGTTTTCGAAGAATTTAATAAAATTGGCGATAAGCAGAAGCAGAAGCATTGATTATTCCTCAAAATGTTGCTAGAAAACGAAGCAGAGCTGAAACGCGAAAAGAAAAAGAAATTTATTTCAAATATAAAGTAGGTAAGTAATTTATATACCTTAAGCATCTATTATAAGTTGTTATGCTATCCTTTTTTACGTTAGGGTTAATGAACAAGAGTATCCAGTTTACAAAAATGCAATGTGGGCTATACACGGTATAACAAAATTTAGAGTAGAAAACATTGCTAAATCCCTAAAATCCAATATTATGCCTCAACCGGACATGCGAGGAAGACATTTAAACAGGCCAAACAAGATCCCTGAAAATGTTGTTAGAACTATAGACGATCATATAAGAAGTTTTACCAGACGATCTTCCCATTATAGCAGGGGAAAAAACAATGGACGATATACTACTTGCTGGCAGAGTTAAATGTTACTAAAATGCAAAAATTATTTTTAGAAAAATATGAGCCCGAAGTCTTTGCAGAAATGTAAGAAAGCAAACCACAGGTAACTTACGATTATTATCATCGTTACTTTTTACACAAATTTAATATAAGTTTTGGCTCACCAAGGTTTGATACGTATCAGACATATGACCGTCTACAAAACATGATCAATGCAGAGCAGGACATTGAAAATAAAGCCTCCTTGCGAGTTGAGAAAGACGTACATACGTAAATCTGAAGTATTCTATACTTCATTAAAAGAAAAGTCAGTATTAGCCTTAAATGACCCCTCTGTTGAAGTGTTATATTTTGACTATGAACAAAATTTGCCATTACCCCACATTCCCGCTGGCGACGTCTTTTACAAGCGACAACTCGGTGTATAACTTTTGCGTACACTCTGCAAAAAGTGGAACTTCTGTTTTTAACATGTATGACGAAGTCACGTCGAAAAAGGGAAGTAATGAAGTAATTAGCTTGTTGCATTATTATTTAAATACTTACCTGCCTGAGACTATAAACATTGTATCTATTTTTCGACAATGCCTTTGTCCAGAATAAAAACCAAACGTTAGTAAAATACATGTATACTCTTACGAACATAAACCAGAAGGGCATTCTGAATATTATCCACCAGTACTTAGAGCCAGGGCACAGCTTCCTGCCGTGCGATAGATCATTTGCTTTGATCGAGAAAGCTAAAAGACGCAAAGAAAGGGTACATACTCCTGATGAGTGGAAAGATCTAGTACGTTCAACTTCAAAAAAGTTTAAAGTTATAGACGTCAATCAGGACATGATCATGGATTTTACAACACATTTAAAACCTTTTTTTAAAACTACCTGTATCAATAAAGAAAAAATTTAGTTTGGTATTTCTACGTACAGATTGTTTCGGTATCAGAAAAATATAAATTATGGTGAATGCAGCCGTTCATCATCACTCCCAATGTTTACAAGATTTTACATACAAAAAGAAAATGTGCCATTGTCTCTTCCAAATTCACGAATGATACAACCCTATCCTTTGCCTCTAAAGGAGAAAAAAACTGCTTATGTTAAACTTCTATCATCCAAATACGTACCAGCTGCCGATCTCTGGTTTACCGAATGATCTTTGGAGAACCCGAAAACAATGAAGTTATGCAAGAGGTGTTAACAATGCAGCTGAGATGTTTATAACTCGGATTCTTCATTTATGTAATACACTCGATTTCAGGTTTAGTTTATTCGCTCCGTGCGCGACAGCAGCGCCAATTTGTTTTGGTATTAAAGGAGTATTTCTGCCTATACTGACAAATACAATTTTTAATAGAATTCGTAAATAAAAAGTATATATGTTAGTTTTAATAAAAGTATATGGATTTATAATACAATTAAAACATTAATTTATTATTATTATATATTTTTCACGCTTAAATTGAAGAAAATTATGTATAATCATTAAAAATCAATAATAAAATATAGGCAGGCAACAGTATTTACTGGAAAATGTATGAGGAGTTGCCTAAGTCTAATAAGTTGTCATTGAAGAAACCATTTATAATAGCGTGAAGTTAAAATGTATAAAAGGAATCGCTACTTATATTTTCATTTTTGTTCTAAAGAAAACATAGAATGAATGATTAAAACTGGTTTCCGATCAGTAAGTCACAAAATTGCATACCAGCCAAATATTATAATCAACGACAGAAATCTTGAAATCTAGTCCTTGCTGAATGAACATTTAAGAATAAAGGGATATTAAAGAACATCGTAAAATCATAATTTATTGTTTATTTAAAAACTTTCTAGTTTCTGATGTCTACTATTTCCAGCATTACTGTTATTATCACAAAAATAAAGGTAATTTTTCTTCTTATTGTACACCTATCCATTTATTTCTTTGATTTAATTTCCACTTTGTTAGTGAAATTTTTTATATAAGTTTCACTGTTTTTTTTTTTGCTAGTATTTGTACAATTTTCAACACAGCAACTCCGGTTGCTTATTGTGTTGTTTTTACCTACTTTTTGAAAAAAAGTAAAATGTATACGTATATTTGATATGCCAAAATTACAAAATATCCCCCTAAAATGCACGAATTATCCGCAGCTAGCGCTAGTATCGCTTTTGCTTCCCTTTCCATGACTTCGCACGGAGCGAATAATTAAGTTCTCTTGTTTGTTCACGTTTTCTTAATAAAACTGTTTAAGCATTTTTTGGAGTTATTTTTTGTACATGTTCGGGGCAACAACCAGGTAAGTCCAAATTTAAAAAAAAATGAGGTAGTTCTGTATTTAATTTTCTTGGCAAAGCCTTGTTATTTTATTTTCCTTATTTTTTTAACCACCTCAAAAAAAATTGTTTCTTTCCTTCTATTTCTAAATGAAATAATTAGTTTTTTTTTAATTTCTCAACAATTTCGAAAATGTGACTTACCTAGTTATTGCACCGATGTCTTCAATTATAATAAGTGGTAATGTTTGGGAAATTACCAATTTAAAAGCAGAATAGCACTACAAAAATAATTAGAAACTTGTTAGACGACAGTTTGCTTTCTTTGAATATTGAAAAGATGAATCTTGTGACCTTATGCACTTTCCTGGTTTAAAATGCATTAAAATTCATGACTCAAAATACAACTTGGGCATGTAAAGTAAATGTGGTATGATCATCAAAAGAAACGCTAATTTAATATATTTTGAAGTTATTTTCTCACTTAGAAGGAATACGTTGAGTATGTAACTGTAAAAGTTAGAAAACTAATTTACCAATTTCATGAAGTCTGTAATAAATTATGGTTTGGTAGTGTTGGAAAATGCATGTTTAACAACCAAAATTACCAGTACAAAAGTCGATTATAAAAATTAAGCTTTTTAAAAAGTAAAATATAGAAAAATATTAAACAGCTTTATTTAAAATCCATCCTAAGATTAATCATAACGAACCAATGCAACAAAGAAATACAAGAAATACCGCACAAGGAAAAGTAGAACTGCAAAACTCCAACCACACCTTGCCAAAACCACACATTATATATACTGCGTGTGTCCAAAAAGTATTATTAAATTAAAAAATAACATAATGGATTGATTTTTGACAGTAAATGTAAGATAAATTATGTAACTAAGAAATAAAATCAAACTATAGCTTAATTTTATTTTTTGAATAATTTTTTTTTTTATTATACAGATATTTTAACTTATACTGCAGAAAGAGTGATACTATTACTTATTACTGAAAATAATTATACATTATTTATGAAATAATTTAAATGAATAAATTATAAATAACATTGTGCATCTAATATGTATAGCCCCTAATAGGGTTATTATTGGGATATATCATTTTTTTAATAAACGGTATTTACAATAATATTTTTAGAAATCTTAATTGTAATGGGCCATGTTCACATGTGGGATATGCTGTTTTATATATTATATTGTAAATAGTAAGTTACTATATAAGTTATTCGAAATAATCAGTTTGTTAAAAAAGCCAAAAGTTTTTAAAGTAAAACCATTTTTAATTTAAAATTTGAAATGTGTACGTTATCGGGAATAGACCAATCAGCTTGTGTCGAAGTTTTGTTTTTTATACAGAACCAAGCCAACGAACAAACCGACGCGACACACAGAATGTCGAAGTGAACGCACATCTTAGAACACCTAACCTAACATTCGTTGTTTTTTTTTTTTATCGGCATCAACTGCTACGGTTATTAGCCTCGTGTTCTGTGTAGGCTTTGTTACTGTTTCCGATCACCACTTTAGAAACAGCACTGTTAATTAGTACCCAACAGTGAATGGTCGAGTGAAGAATCCTACCAAGGCATCAGAATTAATTTAAATGAAAAAATCCCGGCCAACGGTGGGATTCGAACCTGGGACCCTTTGATCCGCAGGCAGAGACTCTACCACTGAGCCACCCACCCCTATTCGTTGTTGTTTTGATTACTTTTTTTTTCTCGTTTCTCGATTTATTTCTTTTATTTTTTCTAATTGGTTTAATATTATTATTAATATGAGTTTGTCAGCTGGATTTATAAAAGCTGATTCAAGTGTTTTACAGACAAAAAGGTATGTAACACTTTATTTATAATTTGTCTTAATACTAGGTACAGTTTATATGGGGCAATACACCTTATATTAAAAACATATTTATCTCAGGTGTTTAGGGTTGTCGAACCTTTACCCTTTACCTTATTTATATGTTTAAGAAAAAATTATTGGCATACACTGATATCCACAAATATAACACTAGAAATTGGGACGATATAATATCTGTACCTTGAACCAACAAGGGACAATCTTTAATTTGAGCAAGAGAGCGACGTTTAAAGCAGTGCTTTTGGTATTATTTCTATAATTAGAAGTAAAAGTATAATTATGTATTACCTAAGAAATAGCAAATTTGTTATTGTATAAAACGAGTTTATACAATTAGGCTACCTCAAAAATTAAAACTAAAAAATATCGCGACGAATTGAGAACCTCATCCTTTTTTGAAGTCGGTTAATAACACCTAAAACTATTTAGAAGGGTAGTGCACAAGTATTTACTCTAATACTATTTCACTTTTCACTTTTCACCTCTAAGTAAAGTTAAAAGTAACTACTTTCTGATTAAACTATAGGGCTGTCAAGTAAACCTACATGCAACTTTACTCAGAGGTGAAAAGATCGACCCTTAATCTACTATAACATTGCTGAATTAAAATAATAACACAAAAATGTTTATATTTAATGAAATAATTTGGAACAGAAAAGTAATAAAAATTAAAAAAAAAATAGGAATCCATAAAAATGTACTCTTGAAAATACTAAAAAATCATCACTCTATTAAATATTTTATTATTATAATAATCTCTGAAATGTGATGAATTAATAAAAAAAAAAAAACAAACAGTTTATTAAATTCTTAGGTATTTAGTCTTACAAAATGAGTTCTTGTTAACAATACCACTAATTGACACATAAATATAAAATTTTTATGTAAAC